TTTTCCTATTTCATGTACCTCTCTAGTCGGCGGCGTGGCAAAACCACTACTCTGGTGGTTTATCGGCCGTGTCCCACTTCCCAAAGAGTAGTTGATGAAAGGGACGAAAATTCGTGGAAAGTGATATCAAAGAGGGACACTTGGGGATCTTATTCACCCAACATTTTGCACAGCGCGGTGGCGTGCCTTGTGCCGCATACTGCGCGCGCGGCGGATCCGAATCTAGATCCAATCCTGCTCAGGCAAACTAAGCCTCCATCCTTCTTAGGTATTGTTTTATGTCAGGATTGCCCAGAATAAATGCACTGATCCACGCTGGTCATATGGGCGGAGACGGTCAGCTATTTGTGTTCTTCTCATTGATGAACCACCTTCAGATGACGAAGAGGACGGATTTATCAATGAGGGTGTCATAACAGTGCGCCTGACTCCGCCCCCATGACCATCGTGGACTGTATCTTTTAGTCTACTAATGGCAGGGTAATAGTAATACTAATTCAATAATAGGCCAAGTTTCACTAACCTTGCGGGCTAGCTCGATAATACCGGGCACGAGGGTGTTCTGCGGCGATCCATTGATGTAGTGAGCGCCTTCCAAGATGGATGCGATAGCGAAGATGTTCGATGGCGATATCTATAAAACTCAACGTTCAGTACCCAACGAGTTGCTGGGACCATGCCCTCGGTCATACCTCGTCCGCGCTAGCGTCAACAGAAGCGAGTATCTGTTCAGCCGTCATGTTTAAGCCATCCACGACATCAGTATATCGCTCCGTGTTTGCTGTCCATAACACAATCACGCATTCTGAAGCCACTGAGAGTTTATATCTAGTTCAGAGGCAGTAGGCACAATGGCTGGAGTCGGCCACTTACTGCTGACATCACTGGTGAAAGAGCTGCGAGAGGGCGCTTTGGCCACACCCCACTCAGCCCTTCCACCAATGACGTTGGCAGCAACCGCCCGCCCCCAGCCATCATGCCCACTGCCTTTGACCGAGTGGTGGGCGAGTAGGTGTTGGGTAGTCTTACCCAAGTCATGTTTTTCCTTGAAATTGCGAATATCGCGACGGATGTGCTCCAGATGCTCCTTCTTATTGGTGCCCGGGACAACATTATTTGCTCTATCACCCTGATTAGCCGCGATAAAATCCGGATAGTAGATCGATGGCATTGGCACTATCGGTTCCATATATGGTCGTAGTTTCTCTTGTAATTCGGGTGCGAATACCTGGAAAAATTTTCGAGTATTTTATTCAGAAGATATTTCCTGGCTTTCCACCTTCAGCTAACTCCTGCTAATTTTGTTAACCATGCAGAAATATCGTCCACGACTCTTTCTGCAAATAATGATGAATAAAGCGTTCGCTGGAAGCACTCACCACTTATGATTTGGTGACTTATTGGTCATATGCTTCTTATTGGTGGGCCTCTGTTCTCTTTCCTGCTATCAGGAGGGTGCATTAATGAGGAAGTGACATTGATTATGGGACCCCGCCATCCGCTCGTGTGATCTTTCCCCGGAAGAAGTGGAACGGGTGACGGACAAGACAATCGTCGCCTTGCTCACGGCTTCGCGCCGCGCCCGGGCAGCGCTTGTCGCGGCAGCTTCTGCGCATGTGGTGCCGTCACTTTGTCTACCTGCAGCCGGGATACACATAAAGCGAATTAAGCAAAGACGCAAGACTCCATTCGGGAGTAACTTGCATTCTTCCTTCTTTCTACATAGTCAATCAAAACGGCTCGCTGAGCAAGCTTCTCTCCGTGTGCGAGGCGTCGCTCGCCCAGCACGGACAGTTGTACGTATATTTTCTCTCACATATCCAAGTGGAACTATATGTGCACATGTTGCCCTACACAATTCATTGATCTGCAACCTTACAGTGTCGAAATTTTATCACGACTTAATTCGGTTGGTGGGGGCACTGAATGCTACTTACCATTATCTAATCTTGTACGGGCCATCCGTGAAGACTGGCAAATTGCCATGATCAAAGTTTAACATGAAAAATGTGCAAAATGGCTCTTCAAGCCGAACTGCTCCTTCTATCACTTCTAGTTCAATTAAATGGTATCTTTGGGTTTTGATGGGACTTGGACTGAAAGACAGATGTCATATGTAGCTCGGTGCATACATATGTCTAGTTTGCAGTCCAACCAGGATCTTTGACGATTTACAACGGAAAAGGAATACCTGGCGCAACCTGGAGGGATTTTATACACAGAAAGTGATTTCTCCACTCCTCTAGAAACTAATTCGGTTACAGTTCCATTGTACTGACTTCGTCGATCCCATTCTGCTCTAAGGAGTTTCCGATCCGACAATCCATGCTTATCATATGGACCCAAACATTGCGCATTTCTCGTGAGGCGTCCCTGCTTTCATTAAAATGAGGAGGAAGGGCTCCGTCAACAAAAAATGGATGGTTGTATGCTTCCGCCCATGCAAATCACATGAACTGCGTCCTTGAGGATGGTCCGAATAAAAAGAAATCCGAAAATGGGGGTGGTTCGACTGGTAGGGGCATTTTGCTAATTCCTAGCAATCACTGCCAATGCCTCCTCTGTAGACCCTCCGGCAAAGCCTCGGAATAAGATAACCTTTGTTAACGCTCAAGGATTTACAAGCCTCTCCAAGGCACCAGGGACGTGTAATTTAACAGGAACTACCGAAAGAAGCTGCGAAAGTGTGAAATGCTCCCTCTTAGCCAGATAGCGCCCAAAAATGCTCTCCTATAAATCGCTAATCTATACCTTAGCTCGGATCATTGCCTGATAGAGATTTTGATTGTTGATATCCCAGCCGTCGATGATGAGATCATTGGGTGAAAGAATCGGTATGATATCCTTGAATGGCACGTGGATCTGCTGCTGGCCATCCCATCCGAGATGAACAGTTGATGACTGGGTGACAGACCTAAATGTATACCAACTCAACAAAATCTACTTGAACTGAGTGAGGGTTCCAACAAGCCTTTAGTCTGCTTATGACTTGAAATTTGTCTAGCTGATGAAGTTGCAGAACAAAATTGTACCCAAAATAGTTGGCAGTTTGAATGCCTTCCTTCGTTCGCCATGTCATATGTTTCTTATTAGCGAAAATTGCTCCTACAGAAGTCGATCCGTTGTTGCCTCCAATACCAACAAGTAGAACACCTGAAATGCTTAGTAAATACGATGGTACAGTTTTGCTAGCTGCGGACGATGAGGCGTTTCAGGTGGGGCTGGGTTGTTGCAGCGCCAGCCTGCTCTTCACCCATTGTGGAATCTGAAAGGCGATCACAG